GGTTATACTGTTGGGGTTTCTGCTGCTCAGCCGGAGCGCCCGCACCTGTGTAGCTTTTATGAGGGGCTGAATCAACAGCTTGCAGTTAATGGACTCCTGGTTTTCAGTGGGAAGCGTGGGGCGAAGGTCCCCTTTCTGGCGCACGGGATGAGGCTGTGGAGATTCACGGTCTTGGTGGAGTTTGGTAGAAAGCGCCGTGAGGGCATTAGGCACCCCAAGAGGCTGCTTTCTCGCATGCGATGGCCCACAAAAGACGAATCAGGAAAACCTAGTTTCTCTTTACCTTTTTGGTGCTGCTGTCTGTCCCCTAACAAACACCAAATATTGCCACCTGGCACCAACACCCCCCTCCACCATGGACCAAACAAAACCCCCACAAGCTTGAGGGAAGAACAAACTGCTGGGTGTTAAAAATCATGCCCTCAATAAAAATACTGGTATTATGCCATGTTATCCTTATGCCCACTTTCTACTAACTTTGCACCTTTCTGTGGTCTGTAATTGGGCATAACCCTGCATGCAAGAGGCACTAACAGCCTTCTCTGTCCCCTTGCAAGCATCTCTAAAATGATCTGATTAACGTAATTAAATTAAACTCAACTTAAGGTTTTTTTTCCTCAACCAAACCCCAGCTGGTCTGACCAAAAATAATAACATCCCCTATAAGCTTTCCATAGTTACAGCTAACGCTCGTTTTTCATTTGGCCAGCAAGCAATCTGTGGTCTCCAGCAATGCTGGTAAGCTCACAGCCACTATTCACTTGCCTGTCACAGATACACTGGTTCTGATTCAATTAACTGTGCTTTGATTAAAAAAAAAAAGAGCTTTCTCTATTGCTATCCAAGTGTCAGTCATTATTACTTTTTTTTTTTCATGCCTGTATTTGTGTCAAAATAATATCTTCTGTTTTTTTCTTCTTACTGCTCTCCATGGTACCTCCCAGGTCACCTCAACACTCTCAGGAAGACTTTGAGATATTTCTCTAGATAATTTTTTGTTTGTAAATGTCTAAATTCCAGTCCGCACTGATCCCTGAGAGCAGAAATTGGATGCTTTTCTCTGGCCGGTGAACCACCCCTGAAGTACAGGCCCCACTGAAGGGACAACAGAGATTAATGCAGGACCTCCAGAGGGGAGGTTGCAGTCAGGCCATAGGGTGCTGAAATGGAAGATGACAGTGGTCTGCTTGAAATTGCTGATGTTCAGGGGGACACAGTGACCCCAGGGGGGGCTGAGTGAGAGTGGACACTTGTCTCCTGAGATGGTGCCTCCTCGGCAAGTCTCATCTTTCCTGAGGTCATGCAATGCTATTTATTTATTTCACAGCATGGCCCTGCAACTTAAGACTTTTCTGATCTCTTTGGACTTCAGTTTCGTGAGATCGTGCTGGTCTATCTCTTTTTGGAGGTCATTCTTTTGTGGGGGATAGAAAGATAAACTCCGTTACTGAATTTTGTAGACATCACCCTAGTAAAGATAAAAGCACTGGAATCTTTTACAGCTCCTCCAAGGAGCTGTTAGGAGAGGCAGGAGTCTTTTGAAAGAATTTTCCCCCTCCTCCCCAGTATTACAGAAAAATGGTACTGAAAAAATCCTTAGAAATATCAGCATTTTGTGATGTGCCCGTTAGACCTCAATTGACTTGGTGCTTAAAGATTAGAATCCTGGTGTGATCAGCAAGTCTTAAATTCCCTTCTGAACTACCCTTTTCTAACAAACTATGCCTAGGAAGTAAAAACGAAGCTGTCTTTCTGGGAAGCTTTAAGAAACACTCTGCATTCTCAGTGTTAATGTAGAGCACATGAATCAAGCATCCCATCTGCCGCACGTGCGTTTTGCCTAAGCAATATGAGAACAGAACATCCTTTGTTTCCGTACTGCAGAAAGAGACCATGGAAAGACACTGACATAGAAATGGAGAACGATGACACCAGAAAGGAAACAACTGCTGCCTGCACCCCTAGAAGAATAATTATTGACTTGACCATTGTATTGACTCTGCAGGAGAAAATCAGTAATCAAACACATGCAAGTAAACAAGCATTTTGCTTCTCAAGATTTTGTTATTCCACCAACTAAATATGATTGTTTAGACTGCTGGGGGTGGGTGGGGGGAGGTGGGGGGAGGAAATTGTTAAAAAGGTGGCCAATAATCCTGCTGTGCTGCTAAGTGAGCTTTTAAAATTTTGTTAAATGTCAAGGGCCAAACTATGAACAGGCAGCTACTAAGCAGCGTGAGCCATACTGGAGCACTGTTTTTAAAACTTTAGTGTGCCCTGTTAGTAGACAGACATTTTATATACATTCTAAGTAGTTTGCAACATTAACTTGCATTATAACTAATAGCACCATAAAATCACAGCTTGAAAAACAAAGTCACTCTGTAATTTTCAAACAAATGTCAGATATGATATGGTCATTACAAAAATTTTGTTGAGTTGCGTGATTCTGAAATAGTTTTATAAGGAAAACTTAATAACGGGACAGGCTTGATAATTGTGTTGGGTTTATTTACTGCTTTTGCTTTTCATTTGGATCTGTCCCACTTATATGAAAGGAGTTCCCAAGAATCTCGTGAAACATTATTATTACTTCTGGTAAGAATTGTTTTGGAAAAAAGGTGAAAAGTTTGCAATTAATTCTTCCTAGGGCTCTTCCCTCTTAGCTCTTTCAGTTGCCTTAAGAGTCATATTGGATAACACAATCCAGTATTAGTCTAGATTTGGGAATCTCATGTTTGGGTATTTTGTTGAATTTGTCTTGATTTTCTGGTAGGAAGAATTGGGGAAGCTCTACAACTAAAATGACTACATTAACAGAACTCCGTAATAAACTTTTTAAAAAAACTACTAAAAATCTTAATCTTTAGAAAGGATGTACTGATGCTTTACATGTGCTCCAGAAAAAGTTTTGCAGTAGACTGATAACTCTGAGTTAGTAACTGCTTATCTGACTGTCACGGTTTAATATTGAAATTACAGTTTTCTCTCTGCCGTAAGGTGTCCAGCTTCAATGGGGTGGTTTAGAGGAAATGAACTAGAAGGAGATGTGCTCCCCACCATATGCCAAATAAGGTTTTAGCAGAGTTTTGTACATGTGAACACTCTAAAAACCCCCAAAGGATTCCCTTTATCTTCAGAATACATGCCATTAAGAACAACTAATCAAGACCCTGATAGTTTCTTCTGAACAAGTACACAATGGAATGCAAAGAGTTAACAGCACAGACAATGACCTATGCAATCACCAAATTACACTTGTCTCCTATTTAATGAGTAGGCCTACGGAGATCTGCTACTTACAAGGAGGTTTCTCAACAGGGAAGGCATTTTCTTTTTCAAGTCCAAGAGGCATCCAAACCAAACGAGACAGAAAGCTTCAGTTTTGCACTGTCAAGATGGCTGTTCTTTGGAAAGCAGCTCTGGTACAAGCAGAAGTACTAACCCTCTGGATTGCAAAGGTCCCAAAACCTGCCTTGCTTTGAGAAATACTCCTGAAGGGTAGCAATTTACAACAGGAAAGCATCTGATATGAGTCCAAAAGAATGATTCCTCTCAGATCAAACGTTGGGCTCCTGCTGGCTTCAAGCGAAGTCCAACACAGGGGCAGTGCCACTTCATATACTTCAGAATTGCCACTGCAGGTGCTGCTCATTTCCCACTTGTGATGTGCCAGCTTGAAAAGAGCTGAAGTTCTTAACAGCATTCACTGTCCGTAGAGAGTAGGCTACAGACAAAACCCACACCGTTCCAGAAAGCACCTTTTTCCTTGTACTGCCCCCCTTCTCCACGCCAGTACTGTCAAAAAGTAGCAGACCAGAGTAAGAAATAAGAAAAAAAAAAATTCAAACTCACTATTTCAAAGCCAAAAAGATTTCAAGAATACAGAGATCAGAATTTACTATTCTGCAAAGACTTTGCTCTGTCCTGTTTGTATCTGAGTATTTAAAAGAAAGCACAAAACATCTGGTTTTGGTCAGTAAAGTGTCCATTTAATAAACTCCTTAGCCACATTTCCCACCCCTTCTTCCCGCCCTAAAACTTCAATTCACACTTAAGCAGCAGATGACATATAATTTGATGGTGTACAACAGAAAGTTTTTAAATCTGCACTCTTAATACTAAGAGTATCAGGGGCTTGTATTTGACAAAATTACCTAGAACTCAGATGTGCCCATGCAAAAAAGCAGATTTTTATATACAGTCCCTACTTTTTTCTTATAAATTTAAATATTTTACAAAAATGTATGTTCAAAATGTATAAAGTTTAGTGAATACCCCAAATGTATCTTAAAATAAAATGTTATCTGATTTCAAAGGTTATTTCAACAATGAAGTCTAAATTGCACCAGATAAAAGGCACTTGTGCTGTGTGATGTCTTGAGCAAATACATGTTAGTTTATAATACAGTAATACAGTGTCGTCTTGAATTCATGCAGTTGTCTCCAAGCATCAAGCATCATTAAAGCAGCCAAAATAGATCGTGAGTAAACTTGATTCCACAGTTGTAAAAACATTTTCTATCGCTAAGTCGAACATACAGCATTGTGCTCCAGCTCTGATTCTAGAATGAAACGCTACAGAAAAATTGCTGTCATTCACATGGGAATTCAAACTACATTTCATTCTCTCATAAGTTACAAAAAGAAGTATGCCATTTAATTATGAAACTAAAACACCAATGAACAGCTCAGTGTTCAAATAGTTTGTGCCAGTGAAAGTCTGTCTTTAAAAACAAGCTAGGGGCTAGTTATTCAAGGAGCAGTGCATCATATTTTCAATTTCCACTTCACTGTTGAGATAAAAGCGCAGTCCTGTTTGCCTTCATCTTCTCCAGCCTTTTCATTAAGTGGCTATTGGTCATCTCCATCTCTTCTATCTTATCCAGTGCTGTTCTTAACTATAAAATGAAAGCAAAAGTTATGATCACTAAGTTTACTTGAACTTTCTGCTGTTCTTACGCTTTGACAGAGGAAATTAGATCAGGAATACAGTATTACATGCTTTATAAGAGTGCCGCATAAGTTAAGACATGACACTTTCATTATTGCAGTCAGATGAACCGGAATTCAACTGTTAAAAATAATCAGGAAGCAGTTGAAACATGAAGCAGGTAATCATTCCAGAAGAACTAGGTGCCTGCAACTTCCTATTACATGCTATTTAAAGGTAAAGCCCTTTCCACCATTGTTACTTGCTGATGGATATATATTCCCATGGGTAGCTGGCATCATGCTAGTCATGCGGCAGCTCTTCAGCAAGCATGATCAACAGCTCAGTTAAATACAGCTTCTTCCCAGCTCCCTGTGAGGTGCATGCTGGAAACTTCCTTGGCTGGCACTTGACATAGGGAGCATTCAACTCCCCACTAATTTTTATGGAAGGATTAGTTTAAAATAGTACAAGTTATCACATTTAGAAGAAAACACACCTTGAGATCCTTCCTTTCAAGGAAATACTGCATTGAATTGTAATTAGTATTACTTTTATGTGCTGCGGTTATCTTCTGAATGCAACACTGAGACTCGGAGGCCTCCTCAAAAAACACTTAGAAACTGTAACGGAAGATTACAAAAAAACAGAGCTTGGAAGCAAAAGACAGAGCAGTTCAAGACTGAAAGGAGCATACAGTTGACAAGGAAATCAAGTCAATTACCTCTCGCTGAAGCTTCCTCTTTTCAGCTTTGAGCTCATCTTCTTCTTTTTCTGCATTTTCTGCTGCATTTTTATACCTTGCAACCTGCCCCTCAAGCCGTCCAATCTACAAACCCAAACAAGAAAAAAGGAACGATTACTCAGGTGTTCCACCCTGAGCTCACCAGCTGTGCTTCCCTTTCTGAAAAGCCACCATAACACAGGCATCTGGTGAATTATCCATAGTATCTCCCTCTGGAAAGACGTTTGACTGTGTTAGCAGCAGCCATAATTGCAAAGAGAGTGTTTTAACAGAACTAATAAAACAGTAAAATAAATTGTGGGCAGAAACCTGGAACACCCTTCACTGCCTGTCCCTCCCTGGCAAGGGTCACAGGAAATGGTAGAGCATGGAACATGGCATAGGACACAGCTGAGAAGATACAGAAGGTTAAAGAACTATGCAGAGATAGAAGAGTTGGAAAAAGAAGGGGGGGGGGGAAATCAAGAATTGGGGCACACATGGGATTAAAAACAAAAGCTGGAAAGTTGAAAACCAGACACCACATGAAAAGGTGCAAAGGAGAAAGGAGACTGTAACTGCTACCAGGACATGATGCAAGAGGTCTTGAGCTCAAGCAGAGTTCAGCTGTAAAGAGGGGTCTCAAGACAAATCCTGGTTACAACTTGCAGGTGTTAAAGCCCACTTGCTGGACTGTTACATTTATAGCTCCCTGCTACCCCAGATCCACAGGACAGGCTGGTAGCCTGTTGCTCTGCAAGAGAGACCAACTATGCATCTCTGAGTCAAATTATAATCCTTTATGTGATTTTTAGGTGATCTACAGAGATGCTGAACTATAATACCGTGTTACTGACTTACAATCACAAAGTGTGAGTAGATCAGTGAGAGAGATATATGTATCTGTATCTATAAAAACAAACTCTTGAATTTCAGAGAGTAAATTATGTACCTGCCACAGTTCATACAACTTTCTTACAAGTAATTAAGCTACATAAACTGATTTTCCTGAACTAGTAGCTTCAGTTCCTCTTCATATTCTGCTGTACACTTCACATCATAGTAAATTAACTCCAGATTATTTTCTCTTATGGTTAGAGTATGCACAGGTATTGAATTGCAGGAAATACGAAAAAATACAAATGTAGAATCATAGAATGCTTTGGGTTGGAAGGGACCTTGAGAGATCATTGAGCCCAACCCCCCTGCAGTGAGCGGGGATTGACCCTGTGAACTTGGCGTTATTAGCACCATGCTCTAACCAACTGAGCTAAGCCGGCTGGTCAGTGCCACTCTGTGCAAACTAAAGAACAAACAGTAAATTAAATGATGAAATAGGTTTTCATAGTTTTTGTTGAAAAAAGTATTGTAAAAGTGTGCAGAGCAAGTGTAACAATAATAGATACGAAGGCAGACACACTTACATTTTGTTCCAAGGTAGTTATATCTTGTTCAGCTTTTGAAAGCTTAAATTTGTATTCACTAATTTGTCTGTTGGCATCTCCTAGACAAAAATTGACATGAATACATTATTCGAAGCAACTCTCTAAACTGGCAGTTTCCCTTTTAATTAAAATTCATTAAAAAGACCATTTTATTGAGAAGCTCATACACAGGATTATCAAGTGGTAAATGTTCTTTCAGAAATCTTTTTTGAGAGTATGAAAAGGAAATAATTTTCCTGTTATTTAGAGAGCACAACTACTGTCTCTGTAAGAATGTGCATTGAACCTCAGATGTATAAGATACACACATTTTAAAACACATATTTAGATCAGCAAACTCATCTCATAGAAGAGAATCAACACAATAACCAACACACACTGCAAAATGGGTCAAATCACAGTAGACATAATACCAGCAGCATTTAGCATAGACATCTGTAATAACATTTGAATGATAACAAGCACAAGGCTTGAACCTGCCCAGCAAACTCCAAAGAGCTCTGCAAATTATTTTGGTGTTATATTTTAGCCCTGACGTTGCCAGTGCTCCATCATGTTCATTGCCACAAGCATATTAAATGACAATCTGTCAAACAAGTAAACTTTTCAGCTGAAGAAATAGCTTGCTTGAAATGGAAAGTTAGATTAGTGCTTCTATGAAGCAACACTGAATATTGTGTTAAACTTTAATAATTTTTCATGTTTTGCTTCAGAGAATAATAGCCATTTAGATTAAGTTTCTGTATCAAAGATTCAATAAAAAAAATCAGAATACATTAACAAAATATCTCACCTGAAATTCTATCATCTAAAAATTGAAATTGTTTGAGTACTGCCACCCATTCTAGACAAGGTCATCAACTGAAAAGTAACTTCCCAGAATGCTATTCAACACTGAAGGCAGATTTTTAAGCTATTCTGCCATGAGAAATTTCCCGCAAGCAGGTATACAAAAAAAACCCTAGCCACTCAATGATATATTCATTCACAATACTACTACTGCACAACAATATAGGAAAAGGAGTTGGAAGAGTCTGTTTCATCTCCCCAGTAAGAACACCTTTGAACAGTAACCATATACCTACTCTGGATTTCAATTAGCTGCAAGTCAGAACCGTTCTCTAAGCCTATGATATCTGGATTCATGCCATCACTTTTAGAATATTTCTGTCGTTCTTCTTCCAACTGCATCTTCAGTTTTCTAACCTGAAAAAGAAGTGTTCTTTTGTGAAGAAAAGACTCCCAGAAGTTCAGTAGTCGTGTATCTAAACGTTCAATGGGAAAAAGGCAAAGCAGTCCTGAGACGGTTCTGCAAGCGGGAGTAGCAGAGCCATGCAGGGGAGGCAGGGAAGCCAGTCCCCGAGGCCTGTGGCTGCGGTCCCCCATCCCCAGTGCCCTCTGCACATCAATGCACCATCCAAACCCACCAGTCTGGTCAGTGCTGCAGGGACCTCTGCGCAATGCAGGGGCAGCCAGTAACAGAGCTGCCTTTCCAGAGGAGGAGGCGGCATTAAACTCTATTTATGCATTTCTTCTACAGTATACCTTTTACACTCTAAACACGTATGAAGATAATGAATAATACCCTGGCGAGTTTACAGAAAGAATAATCCACAGCTTTTTTGGGGTTCTCTCTTTTACTTCACCTGGAAGCAATGGTCCTAGGCAAGTCTGTAGTGCACATTAGTCTTAAATGTTCCATTTTATACTACAGCAGCTGTCTCAAGATTTTTCCAGTAATCACAGAACACAGATTCCTCAGCTATGTCCTCTGTGTCTGGAGTTTATGAAAGAAGTGGGAGCTACTTTTTTGACTACCTTACCAAAATATTGCCCTACAGATTAGTGGTATGGGTGTTATACTTGCAAAACTCCCATTCATGATATAAATCAAGTATTTCAACAGTGATTTTTACAATTATATGGTGATAAATATGCAAATACATCTTTATATACTTATATTCATACACTTGTATTTAGTAGCCTTGATTCAATACTAGAATTTATTGGCATTCTAAACCAAGTATCTATATTAAAATAAAGATACATTCCCAGCAAAAGCAAATGTTGACAACACCACTTTAAACTTGCAAGGTGTTCAACTAGAAGCACAAACACTACGGTATTCTTAACAATTGTTCAATAGCTATATGTTTTCTTGAATCCTCTCTTCTCAATACTGAACTGTATTAAAATACAACTACTTTGATAATATTAATTTTCTGTTTGAGTAACTGAAATGATCAAAGAAATAGCAGCACTTAGCAATTTGGAAAAAAGTGCCATTTGAGCTTACGAGAATGACATTTTACTGACTTTAGTATTTCCGCATAAGACAAAATAAAAGAAAGAATAATTTTAAGTATGTGCACTAATAGTAGAGTCAGCAGCGAGTTAGATTTCAGCTAACCAGTTAGAGATATGAGGGTTCTTTGCCAACCAAGATCAAAGTCACATGGATAAGGGCACTAGTGAGAGGAGCTGATAATTCCTGGTAGCCAGCCAGGTAAGAAGTTGAGTATTTTATTTTCCTCTAGTGCTTAAGTATATGATTAAGCACCTTTGGTGCTTAATATTTGTTTATTGCTAATATATTAATAGTCTGCAAAAGGATACACAAAGGTCTATTTCGGAAAAGAAAAGCTTATTTTACCTGGGACAATAATTCCTCCTTTTCTCCAGCCAGTTTTCGTAGCCGGACATCTAAAACCAAAGAACTCAATTAAAAACCAGAGAAATCTGTAACTAAGAACATATTTGTCATAACTTTTTGTTTATTTTCAAGTACAATGCTCTTCAAACTTAAAGCTAATACCATTGGGAGCATAAAACTTAGATATCTCACTAATAACAACACACCAGCCTTCAGTTAATAGCAGAAAAAGGGGAAAAAGATTTCCATTCACGCTGTTTAAAACAATTTTAAAAGCAAGACCTCTGAGTTTAGTAATTCTTCAAGGTAAATTAACAACTGAGGATTTTTTTAATAAACATAGTTTTGTCCCAATGTCTAGAATGGCCATTTCCAACAAAATTGTCTTCTGATTGTACACTCTTTTCCCTGTCTAGAATCTAGAGATTGCTATCTCTTCAGGGAAGGCACTAAGCTTCCCCATATGTTTAGAAAGTGTTCTCAAACCACAAACAAAAAAAAAAAAGTACTTGGGAAAGGACCCACAGGAATGTTGTAATATCTCTAATCTGTCAGAAGAACAGTAACAGCTACAAAACAGCCTGTCAAGCAACACTGTGCTAAGATTACGGCAGCCTCCCTTGGAAATTGTAACTTTGACAGTAACAAGCATAAAGACGTCTGTATTTCACTATGATGGAGCCACAGCAGAAACATGTATCAAGTCTAATATCTGCCACAACAAAAATATGTGTCGTGGTTTAGCCCCAGCCAGCAACTACGCACCACGCAGCCGCTCGCTCATTCCCCCTGCCCCTGTGGGGTGGGGGAGAGAATTGGAGGAGTAAGAGCGAGAAACACTCCT